AGTGGAAATTTTGAGGCCTGACAAAGAATGTAGGTAAGGAGTGAAAGAAAGATGCAAAATAACATCTTTAAAAAGAAAGAGGGGGGGGGTAAAAATTTATTAAATATAAAAATGTTTAACATTGGATGTTGTGGATAATATTGTAACAGATACTCAGTGTCTGTCCTATTCAGTAGCTGAATAGTTGAAATTTTCATCTTATTTACCAAGAATTTTGGGAAATTCACTTGTTGCATATTGCATGCTAACTTGTCCAATTTAATTAGAGGATATTTTATATCCATCACCGTAAAAGGGTGTGCATATTCTTTCAAGAAAAAATAGACCCCCATACTAAAAGCAGGTACATCAAAATTTTAATGTAAAAACAAAGAAAAGTTTGTGGTGGTTTTGTCTTTGGGCTGTGTTGATACTTTGATTGAAAGTAAGTTTTCTGTGTTTTTTTCATGTATCAACAAGAGAAACATTACTGCCAATACCACCTTAATTTAGCTAAATTTGATTATTAATCTGTTATAGATGCTTTGTTAAAAGGTAAAACATGTGATCCTTGAGATTATGTCTTTGATAGTTGTCCCTCAGATAAGTTATCAGTGAAGTGGAGTTAGATGTGTTCCTTGAGATTATGTCTTTGGTAGTTGTCCCTCAGATAAGTTATCACTCAGGTGGAGTTAGAGTTTGTGTATCTAGCACATTGTGACTACCCACAACCACCTAAAAATCAGAATCCATATAACGTATACTACACTGTAACAGAGAAAAAAAAATTGTTGAGATGTGTTCATTTGGGGATATTTCTTCCACATTGGCATTTTGAACTGATACAGTTCATCAGGAATCATCTATGTTCATTATAGTTTCTTGCCTTTGGGAACACATAGCCCCAGTAGGCTTTTCATCATATATGGCCTTGTGGGGCTACCCCCTCACTTGTTTCTTGTCCTCTTTGAGGGTCTTGAGGGGGAATGTTTTTGGTGTGCCACTCATCACTCCAGTCCTGTGGGAGATCTGGTCTCCCACTTTGTATACCAATGGACTTCCTTTGCTACAACCTATTGAGTTCTTCAGATGTGATCTTAGTGGTTTTTCCTGTCCTTTTACCCTCCACCTTGCCTGTTTTGACTATCATGGGACTGTTTTTCTTCCCCATTTTAGGTTTTTACTCCTCTCTTTTTGTCATTCCCATAAAATAGTTGGTTGGTGACCAATCATTAGTCTGTACTATTTGACTCAACTTTGGTCTTACCTCAACTCCCACTGAATGTTTTTCTCACTCTGTAATACTTACTCTCCTTGATGATGAATGACCTGGTTCAAGGTCTTGGTCTTTGTCCACTCACCACAAATATTAAGTTCTCTGCCTGTCCCTTCAAGTTGGCTATGGCCCCTTCTTTTTTCTTTGAGTCTGTTGGACTTTTGCTCGATAGTTATGTTCTTGAAGTGTATTGTTCCTCTACTCAATAAACATTTGGCTGTACTTGCCCCTTTCAGTGTGGTTTCCTCCATTGCAACCTTCCTTCTTCTTCAGAAGTATTCTTGTTTTGGGTAACTGGTTGAATTCTCCGATTGAGTCTCAACCCCCATCCCACATCTCATTCACTTAAGGGTCTTTCTCACATAGATGCTTTGTTAAAAGGTAAAACATGTGTTCTTCTGTTGTTTCTTCAATCCCCAATATGGTGGCATCTTCTTCCAGTTCTTCTGTTTTCTTGAACTTCCTTTTTTGCACCTATGACCATCACATTCAGTTGTTGGTCTATCATATCTTGGGAGCTCAGGGCCTCGTGATAGATCAACAATCTTGTCTATGCCTGGCTAATTTCTATAAAGTGGTTTTTCCATCCTAGCATCTACCTAGACTTGCACCTTCTGGCCTCTGCAGTGGACATTTGCTAGCAACATGATTAGAAATACTATGTCAAAGCAGTTTCTCATTGGAGGTAATGATAAAATAGAAATCACAAACTGAAGGTGTTCTTTTCCAAATTCTAATTATTTGTCTGTTGTTACACAAATGCTAGGCTTCTATTTAAAATATTTGAAAAGAAAACATGTACACATTGTTATAACAGTTAAATGATAAACTACTAACTTGTATAATTAAACACATATATCTATCTGGTCAACTTAAATAACTGTTCATAAATAAAAATCAATGTCAACCACAAATATTAGGGCCCTTTCTTCCCCCTTGGCTTCTTTATTCAATAAATGTCCATTCACAACATAACATTTATCTTCCAAAATATTCTTTATGTCTGGCACTATATGTAAATGTCTCCACTTCACGGTGGTCCTTATTATAATCGATGGCAGAGTCGCCAATGGATACACAATCTTCTTGGACAAAAGCTTCATTATCCAATATTTTATCTTCTTGAAGTTATTCACACGAAAACTTATAGAATGCACTAGGACCCATCCGTAAGTATTTAACTGTACCGAGTCTACGACAGAATCCAGAGGAATCGAATTTGTTCACACAGGCAGTAATTTTCACAACTGCCAAACACTACAGCAACTTAAGTGTCACACACTAAACTACAAACTGTTCAAATCGGCCTGCTTATAGTTTCTGGGGAAGACTGGAAGTCACGTGCTGCTTGTCATGGTTGTAATATTTAATGAGATGATGTCACAATACTGCAACCCAAATTACTCAGTACATTACAATCATTGAGATAAAATATCATACCCATTACACAAAATACTCTTTAGAATAATATCATATTTATTAATATTTAATACATGAAACAAATAATCATGACAGTTGCAGGTAAATTTAGAAAAAAATAATGTTACTAGGAGCAGTTCTGAATTTGCTAATGTGGAAACAAATAACTAGCAACCACCTTCAACAGTCAAGGTCGACAGCTGCATATCTGAGCAGTGATCTAGTGTGACTTCTTAAGATAGTGGTGCACTAGAAAATTTAACTGATAAGGAAAAAGAATCAGGGACAACTTAGCTACCTGAAATCTGGAAGTTTTTACTGAAATCTGAGACTGTTCTTGACATGAAATAAGTTCAAATTAAACTAATATTTTTACCTTAATGTGGTTCTAAGTTGTTCAGGAAAATACTAAAGGCCAAAAGAAAAGAAACAAAACCTTTTATGTAAAACAGCAAACCTTCTATAAATCTACGATAATATGTTTACCCTTCATGAAATTTTCAAAAGTAATTTTACTCACTCACTCCTTTCAGCTTTACACCTTGTCATTATAAACTACTAATGATAGTAAATAAAATGCAAATATCAGAAAATTCAAATGTATTTTTATAAATATAGAATATTTAAAAGGAATACATGATAAAATCACACTTTCTGACAATAAAAAAAATTCTTCCTACCTTCCGACTTGCACTGGCTTTTTACCGAGTTACTGCCTCAAGGCATTTAGGAGTGAGAAAAGGTTTCCCTGTTGGTCAAAATTATTGATAAACAATCATCCCAGTCAATATTGATTCAAAGAAACCTACACGTGGGTAGTAGTAACATAAAAATGACTTTCACGATCACAGTGGGTCATTGGGGAAGTGGAAATGTGCTAACACAAATTAAATTAATGGAACAGCTTTGAGATCAGGCATAAAAATACTGGAAGTTTGTGGCACAAAGTTTTTTCAAGTTTGTGGTACACTTGCGATCCTGTGTACAATTGACACATCTTTATTAGTTTTTCTGTAAAATCACACAATAAAGATTCCTTTCTTTTACAACTTATTGAAAATATAATATATATTAACACATGAAAGAGCTTGTATATTTGTGAAGTTATTACCAATCAGCTTGAAAACATGTGTAGAAAGAATTGATTCTGTCCAAGAAAATACAAAAACTGATAACCAACAACTAAACTTAAAAGTGATGTGCAGAAAATTTTATAAGTTGAAGGTATTCGTGTAAATAACAATTATACACTTGTTATGGTTTCTGTGCAATAAGATTTATTGAAAATGCAGTAAGTTTGATTAATCATTATAATGGATTACTAGAAATTAATTTGGCACGTTGGGTATAGTATGCCATTCAAAATAATTGACATTTGTTTTTCACTTCAGAAATATCTAAAATTCATTATAGAAAGTGACCAGTTAATTAAGTGACCAACTGTGTATAGATAAATACATTTTTGAGTACAGATTGGTATGTTTTAATTGGAATTATGAAACATTTGTTGTTTTACATGCATGTACACAAACACTTTTTGGTGTTTGTTAAATGTTTCAAAGCAGAGAGAGAGAGAAAGTACTTTATAAAAATGGTTCTGACAAGAATTGTCCATTTAATTATGATGTACTAAGTTTGTACTTTTTTATTAACTCTTCAAATATCTGCTGTCTAAGATGTTTTGAATTAGACTTGAGAAACTGTTCATCTGTTTAAAGTTGTTGAGACAGTATGGGGTTTCTAAAGATCTTTATGTACATCTATTTGAGAAAATGTTCATCTATTTAAAGTTGTTGAGACAGTATGGGTTTCTAAAAAACTTTATGTACATCTATTTGAGAAACTGTTCACCTATTTAAAGTTGTTGGAATGGTATGGGGTTTCTAAATATCTTTATGTACATCTATTTGAGAAACTGTTCACCTATTTAAAGTTGTTGGAACGGTATGTGGTTTCTAAATATCTTTATGTACATCTATTTGAGAAACTGTTCACCTATTTAAAGTTGTTGAGACAGTATGGGGTTTCTAAAGATCTTTATGTACATCTATTTGAGAAACTGTTCACCTATTTAAAGTTGTTGAGACAGTATGGGGTTTCTAAAGATCTTTACGTACATCTATTTGAGAAACTGTTTACCTATTAAAGATCTTGGGACAGTATGGGTTTCTAAAGATCTTTATGTATATCTATTTGAGAAACTGTTCACCTATTTAAAGTTGTTGGGACAGTACAGGTTTCTAAAGATCTTTATGTACATCTGTTTGTCATTGAATTGTGAACACTTCTAGAAAAAAATCTGTGATTATTATTTCTCTTTATAAAGATGGTATGGACAAGAGAGAGATTATAATGTCTTGGTGATGGACCTTTTGGGACCTAGTTTAGAGGACCTTTTTAACTTCTGTTCCAGAAGGTTTACAATGAAGACTGTGCTTATGCTAGCAGATCAGGTAATTCCCCTTATTTTTTTTCTTCTTTACTTTATATTGTTAATTTTGTGTCTAGCTTTTAAAATAATTTCTAATACTACCAGCTGTTTCTTATCGAATATACGTAATGATTGTCATCTTTTATTTAATAGTACCAGTTGTTTGTTGTAGAATATACGTAATGGTTATCATCTTTTATTTATTACTACCAGTTGTTTGTTGTAGAATATACGTAATGGTTATCATCTTTTATTTATTACTACCAGTTGTTTGTTGTAGAATATGTGTAATGGTTATCATCTTTTATTTATTACTATCAGTTGTTTGTTGTAGAATATATGTAATGGTTATCTTTTATTTATTACTACCAGTTGTTTGTTGTAGAATATATGTAATGGTTATCATCTCTTATTTAATACTACCAGTTGTTTGTTGTAGAATATGTGTAATGGTTGTCATCTTTTATTTGTCCACATGATAAAGTCGGGATATTTTCTATTTTTGTTTTTGTTTTTCTAAAGATCTTGTTTAAAAATTCTTATCACATTTAGTTACATAGATAATAATATTCTTACCTTGACATTTTTTGTATGGAGATATTTAATATTCTTAGAAAGATGATACAGTTTAGTAGTGAAGTGTAGGTTGTCATTATTACAGTATGACCTTAGAGTTTTGATAGATGATACAGTTTAGTAGTGAAGTGTAGGTTGTCATTATTACAGTTTGACCTCAGTGTTTTGATAGATGGTAGTTTAGTAGTGAAGTGTAGGTTGTCATTATTACAGTTTGACCTTAGAGTTTTGATAGATGATACAGTTTAATAGTGAAGTGTAGGTTGTCATTATTACAGTTTGACCTCAGTGTTTTGATAAATGATAGTTTAGTAGTGAAGTGTAGGTTGTCATTATTACAGTTTGACCTCAGTGTTTTGATAGATGATACAGTTTGGTAGTGAAATGTAGGTTGTCATTATTACAGTTTGACCTCAGTGTTTTGATAGATGATACAGTTTGGTAGTGAAGTGTAGGTTCTTCACTACTAAACTATCATCTATCTGTAGGTTGTCATTATTACAGTTTGACCTCAGTGTTTGGATAGATGATACAGTTTGGTAGTGAAATGTAGGTTGTCATTATTACAGTTTGACCTCAGTGTTTTGATAGATGATACAGTTTAGTAGTGCAGTGTAGGTTGTCATTATTAGTTTGACCTCAGTGTTTTGATAGATGATACAGTTTAGTAGTGCAGTGTAGGTTGTCATTATTACAGTTTGACCTCAGTGTTTTGTATTTCTGAGTCCACTTTGTACTACAGTGTTAGCTAGAATGAATAAAGTGGTGTGAGGAGAAATTTATGAGAAAGTGACAAGATGTAACTCCTGCCGAAATGAACAGAAATCTAACTGGAAGCTTAGAATACATAGGAACAAACTACAGATTTGGGAAATTTTTTTTTCTTTTTTAAATATATTATAGATATTATTTTCACTCTGAAAATGTTTTCATGTTATACTATATTTGTGTCAAAGCTACAGAAATCGTATTGTATTAAAGTACATCAGGTAAGCCTAGTTAGGTTTAAATAGTATGGTAGACAATTGAAAAACATTTAAATGACTCAAATCCTTTTAATTGAATATTGTTGTAAAGTTTTATCATATTCAAACAACATAGATAAGTAAAAAAACTTATTTATTGAAGAAATCTATACTTATTGGAAATCAATTGATCTTAACCAAAAATTTTGTTAGAAAAAATATTCTTACCTTGTCTGGCCTGATGTAGTTTTGACAAATCAGATCATAAGTCACACCAATAAGTCATTTCCAGACTTTGCTTTGTTTTTTAGGAATTATAATTGAACGTGCTAGCTACTGCAATTTATAAAATAAAGTTTAAAAAGTTAATGTTAATGAATACCAATCAAATTCAAACTGATTGGATATATACGAAATGGAAGTTGAGATTCAATGAAGAAAGAGAGTATTTTTAATGTTTTATAAAGAAAGTGTTTCACAGCAACAGTTTGGAAATTATTTAATGTCAAAAATGATGAAAGATAAACCAAATTATCTGGGTTTTTTTAAGCCAAAAGTAAACATTTTTTAGTATGTTATTACCATGTTTCAGTGTGCAAAAGCAAAAAATCAAGGAATAAGAAGAGCATTTAAATGTGCTTGTGTTACACTATGTTACAAAACTTTTTACTCGGTACTCAGGATGGATTGGCTGCAACACTCAGTCTGACTTGAAATGTCATTTTATGTAGCTTTATGGAATGACAGAATATTTACAGAATTGGAAACTCATTTCAGTTTATAAAATCTCTGGTGCTGATTATAGATGTTTGGACATTAAAACATGCGTTAGTAGACCTTTTTAACACTGATACAACTCTCATAGTATTGTTTCAAAGTCTGTCTGTTTTTTTATACGTGCCCTCACACTTTCTAAAGTAAAAAATATTGTACTAAAATTATTTTGTATTTTCAAACAGATTCTGCAGATGAAATATGTTACAAATCTTATCCATTTCAGATGATTGGAAGAATTGAATATGTTCACAATAAGAACTTCATTCATAGGGACATCAAGCCAGACAACTTTTTAATGGGCATCGGAAGACACTGTAATAAAGTACGTTTTACTGTGAGAGATAAAAAAAATCATTTTCTTCTCTCAAAACATACAATCCAGTCAATAAATTAAAGAGCATCTTTGACAATCACTTATCAAAGAGCCACAAGAAAATACTTTGAAATAAAGTGTAATTTCTGTTTTGTTGTTTAATATCCTTGTGGATGATTATTACCGTTTGTCAGAGTTCAGGAAATAGTTCTAGATGCATTTCAGTAGTTCACATTTTTATGTATACAGATTCGTTTGTTATTTTACTTTTGTGACATTTATGACTTATTGAAAAAAAAAATCAAACTTTACTAAATTACTATTAATATTATTTTATTCTGTTAGCATAATATTTTCCAATAAAATACATATGGGAAAAGACTGTGTAGTTAAATTTCACTGTGTCTGATTCTCAACATATTTTAAGCCAAAAGTTGTTAATTTAAATATTTATTATATCTCATTAAACAGATTTTTGATATGTTTACAGCTGAAAATAAGTTTAGTGGCTCTTGTGGTTTAAAGAACACAGTACTGTGTCTATTAATTTACCAAGTTTATAAAGTTTATTTGGTAAAGTTTCTGCCTTATTTTGATCAAGAAAATGTATAGTTTTTAGTACATATCCTGTGTAATAGTTAAGAATCAAAAAGTATGTTTCAGAGCCAAATGTTTTAGAACTTCATTAGACTATTAAGATAAAGCATAAGTTATCTTATTAGGATCTCTGTGGTTAATACTGTCCCTGTATTAATGACATATTTTGTTTACTGTAGTTATTCCTGATTGATTTTGGCCTTGCAAAAAAGTACCGTGACAACCGAACTCGTCAGCACATCCCATATCGTGAAGACAAGAATTTAACTGGCACAGCTAGATATGCAAGCATAAATGCTCATCTAGGAATTGAGCAAAGGTAATATTTAAGTTTTTAGTGCTGTGTAATGCCATATAAGTTCATCTTACAAGTATTTTAACACTAAGTTGAGGACATAGAAATAAACAATTATTGTTTGATCTTAATTATACAAATTGATGTATACTTAGAAAATTATTTTTATATTTTACATGTCAGTCTTTGAAGTTACTAAACATTGACTAATATATATATTCCTTAAAAATCACATGTGCTTTGTAAACTACATTCCTTTTACTTCTATGATCTGATTTATTTGTATATTTAGAAGTAATTTCCATCTTCCTATTAAAAATTTTTGTTGTTGTCTAAGTTAAAATACCCTCATGGGACAAGCATGAGATTTTGGTATAGTATGTTAAATTATTTATGGATAATGATTTTTGTCACATGAAATTCTAGAATAATCTTTTCTTTAAAAGTTCATTAATGGGTTGTAAGTGATTGAACTCCTGTATTTCTGAAGTTACATCTAACACATATGTTATCAATACATAGTCGAAGAGATGACATGGAATCCTTGGGCTATGTTCTTATGTATTTCAATCGAGGAACACTTCCCTGGCAAGGTCTAAAGGCTGCAACTAAAAAACAAAAATATGAGAAGATCAGTGAGAAAAAAATGTCAACTCCAGTAGAAGTCCTCTGTAAGGTTAGTACGTTTTAAATTCTTATCTTCAAGTTAACCATATAGTTCCAGGCTTGGCATGCCCTGTGGGTAACAGGATCAAAACCTGATCATAATTGCCTTTTTAGCTATGGGGGCAAAGTATTTATTTCTACTATTTGTTGATAAGAGAAGCCCAAGAGTTGGCGATTGGTGCTGCTGGCTTGTTTCCCCATCTTTGTTTAGCAGTTTAAAATTAGAGACAGTGGTTTTAGTAGCTCTGCCTGAAAAAACAAACCAGCAAACAGATCCAGAAAATATATCTAACAGATTATCTTTGAACATGCATTCTTTTGTTGGGAAAATATTGGGAACAGTATTACCAGCAAAAGTCATATTAACCCTTTCAATACGGGTCACAGGTGAAAGGCCATATCATCTTGTTTGTTGACTCGCATTCAAAATTTTATTGAACTACTATTTCATGAACTTATGTCAGTAAGTTTGGTATCAAACTATAGATTACAATTCAAATTTTAGAACTATACATTACTCAATTTGTTATTTTAAGAGTAAATATTAAAAAAACATAGATAAACATCGATTTTTGTGTGTCACGTAGTATGTTGAATGCAGCACTGGTTCAAATTAGATGTTTGTGAAGTCAAAATACTAAGTCTGTAGTTTCATACGAAATAGAAACTCAAATTACAGATATTGACAAGCTAGAATATAAAATAAGAACCTCTTATCTTTTCTATTTGCTAAGATATTGCTCACGTAATAAATCAAACATAGTGGCACCCCGCTCTCCTCCTTCCATTTTTGGAAATGCCCCCTTATAAACATTTACTTCTATATATGACATGAATAACTAATCAGAAGCTCAGAAGGTCCCCTAGTGGTTTTCTAAGCCTTTCTAATGTACCTAACATCATTTCTGTCATTTAAATCAAGATTTCAATGAGGTAGGTTGTGTCTTTAGTTTGCTCAAAATTTCATATTTTTTTTAGATCCAAATACAGCTTAGTTACTAAGTTTGATAAATTATAGTGGAAATCTATGGTATTGATGCAGTAATTTATGATTTTTAGTTATTCAAAAGTATATATAAAACCTAAAAACATTATTTGTTTCTTATCCTCCACGTGCAAAATTTTAAAGGCTTGGCAACCTACATCAAGCAGC